TTGCGGAAGACGCTATTGTGCCTTTGAGAAGGTGGTGAGCCCCAACATTCACGGCAAACAGACTGTAGTGACCCTGTAGCGCCTTACACCTTCGGGGTCACACCACGCATGGGGTCACGTGATTGCAGTTATCGGACGGCCTCTGAGACAGCCAATCACAGGTACCTCAAACTGTTCCAACGCTTAACCTCTTGCGGCCGCTAACAAGTGCGCATGCACCAGCCTGTATACGCCAATACGCTCTGGCCAATCACCTTCCTATGGCTGGTCCATACAAAACCCCACTGCGACGGACGCACGCTCGTCCGACTGCCAACTTCCTCCAACATATTCTCCACTACCTCTGTACAGAATACACAATGCCTCCCGTCTGGGGCCTCACTTCTTCACTAGCCCTACGGAACCGGGCCTGAAGATCGCAACAACAAGGGTCTTCCCTAGTAGCTTAACCTACTGCGATAGGTCAGCCTACCGCAAAGTTATGTGCACTGTCAACTTCAAGTTCCTCTACAAGTTGGCGCTATACATAACATTAGTAATTGAATAACTGCCCATGAACATTCAATTTCCGATGAAGACAGCCAGGGTTGATAAGGATGATGATGACGGTCGGCAGAATACCATGCATATGGTTGGGCACACGGTAACGGTAGCCGTTTCAGTTTTATAAATGATTTTTAAATCTGCAATCAAATATACATGCGTCCCAATGGGTTGGCGTTATCTGGGATAAGACCAGTTGAGAATAAGGGCAACGGAAATATTACCTGAGATAGAACAAAGATCAATGGAGTTGTTGGAGAGCTGTCTTTGAAGACGTCAGCCAGGTTGGTAGTTTGGGGTTCAATGAATCTTTGTCCAAGATGATGAGCGACAAAGTCCTGCATTGCATTGGTCACCTTGTCCGATCTCAAACACCTGAGCAGGAGAAGACGCTGGAAACTATCCAGCTTCTCACCCCAGGGTTCCTTAAGCGGGATTCTGTGAGGTTCATTAGAATCGAAGATAGCCTTGAAGTCATCCAGATTATCGGCGATAAATTCTGGAATGCCATCAAAGCGGGGAAGTGCGTCCAGTGTCAGAAGTTCGCTCCATATTCGGTCGGAAATCCACTCTGGAGCGGGGTTGGGCAGCTCCTTCTTCCGTGTTGTGCCACCCGAGAGCAGATAGCGCCACTCAGTCTGTTGGTACATCAAAAACGAGTTGGAGCAAATTCGCATCGGCAAAAAACCGTCTTAGAGAAGATCCATATACGGACGACAAAATGACCAAAGGTCTGAGTACACTGCTTTATGAAAACAAACTGTTAACCCTCAAGCCATTTCGCCTCTCCTACAGGCAACTACGAGGAGATCTCACATTAGCCATCATACTTTAGAGCAAGGAATAAATAATAGCCAGCTTGCTAAGCTAGTTTCATCGTGTGCCCTTAGGAGTTGTTGCTAATACCCCAGCAGATTCAGATTCGGTGGTAAGATGACCCATCTGGTGCGTCTAAATTTTGAATCAAACACCTAGGTAAATAAAAGCAGTGACTTCAGCCTGTGAGAATACAATGGAGTATGACGAAATAAGCAGAACAAGCGGCCGATGGAGTTTGTGCAGTTTTCGTACTTCATGCAATCGGAAACTAGTTGCAGGTCAATAAAAATTTCCGTGAGGGTTGCAAAGCAAGCATAGTAAGCCCGAAACAAGAGTGTTACCATAATCACTTGGCGCACAGTATGTTAGAGGATCTATGCAATTGAACGTACCGCATCGATAAAGCCATCATTCTCCAGAATTTTAATCGCTAGAAGGAAGGCAAATAGCAGCTTGTGTCGCTCAAAAAGACTGCGACAAACATTGGTGTACAGGGCGAAGGTAAAATAGTCGTTGATATTTTCGATCCTCTCGGTCACAGTAGCTAAAATGAGGAATGTGAAAAAATGGAGAAAATAAGATATTAACATAATGTATTGACAATCGGCCGAGTTTATTAACCAGCGCCGTGATAGTATGACTGTAGGTTAAAAAAACTGCAGCGACTAATGACATCAAGAACCATGCTACTTGTTTCAGCTAAAGCAAAAACTGTAAGCAACTCACGAGCTTTTTCTGCATTCGCGATTCCGTGGAGGAAACCGTTGATAAACCACTCCAGTGAATACTGATACATGGGATCAATGTTCGCCAGTGCGGATACACAGAAAAACAATATACGAGCCCTTACGGACACCGGAATGTACATGCTTCTAGTCTCGTCGATGTCCTTTTCAGTCTGCTCAGCAACGACGACCTTCGACTGGATTTCGGTAGATTTCATTTTTGAGGCCTCAAGTGTTGCAATCAGATCCAGATCGTCTACTGGCGATCCCTCAGTTGCACTCAGCCGCTCCAAAATACGGTCCTCAATCTCCTTTAGCTCCTGTTTCATTTGAGCATTACTCACAATCAACTGACCCTTAGCCTCTTCAAGATCTGGACGTTCTTCGGCCACAACAATACCCAGAAGCTGGTCTTCCAGACCACTTGGTGACAGAGTGAAGTTAACAATTGTGAGCCTTGCCGTAACCTCTGGTTTATAATGAGGATTGGGAAGTTTCGTGGTCATATAGAGACGGAAGTCATCATGGTAGGGTATAATAGAGTCGCCCAATTTTATCACCAGTGTCCCCTGCTGTTTGAAGGTCTGTTTCGTGATAATGGGATCAAGCACAGGATCCAACTCTTCACCAATATTTTCAAACAGACAGGGCTTTCCAAATCTGATAGCATTCTCCAGCGTTCGCAAAAAATCTTTGTCGGAAAATTTAAGGACCTCTACACCATCGTCATATTCGAGCGCTTTGATCCACCTGTTAGCCTGTCCCTGTGGATCCACAAAGAGCGGCCAACGGCGCGAGAACTGGACAATCACCGCATTCTCCACTGAGAGGCCGTCCTTCGGCAGACCAAATATGTGCCAATTTCGTATTTTCACTGGATCTCCAAAGGTGTCAATGAGGTTGGGAGCTGGACTGGTGGTGTGGGGCACGCCCAGAGTCTTCAGCTTTTCGATCCAGTCAGCACACATCTCAGCCCGATATTCCCCATTGAAGGGGCCCAGATAGGCCACAGCACCAGAGGAGATGAGCACATTACCCACCAGATTGTTAGCCAGCTCGTCCAGGGTGTCCACAGAGACTATCCATCGGGACTTTTCACTGGCCAGCCCACCAATCAGTTTGTCAGCGCGGATCAGGCGAGCCTCACAGAGGGCGCTCTTGTCTTCCAGCTCCTTCTGCTTGCGAATGCACTCGTCGTACTTGGTCTGTAGACTGGCAATGCGGTCCTGGCAGGCCTTCAGACGTGCTCGGGCTTCCGCCAGAATGGCCTCAGTTGCCTGCAATTCAGTTTCCGCCGCCTGCAGTGCAGCTCGCTTGGGAGCCACTGACTTGGCCACATTATGGTATTTGTGCATGGCTCTCACCCACAGACAGATGCTGGTGCAAGCCTTACTGACTTTCTGAATAGCAGCCGGGGTAAATGCGTCCGAGTCAATGTAGGGCTGAATTCGAGCAATGATTGAGTCGGGGATGTTGTCCCGATCGTAGGTGAGTAGAGAGTCGAGGAATTTGCCCGGATCTTGGAGCAGAGCCTTGCCCGGTTCCCAGTAGTCATCTACTTTAACTCCCGGTTTATCGCCGGCTACCTTCTTGGGTTTCACATCCTTCATAATGCAGACAGCCTCCATGACTAGACGTACGCCCTCCGGCGGCCGCATCATGGCACGCACTTCAGTGATGTCGTTTTTGTTCAGCGACTTGACGGCCTCCAGAGAGGCGTAGAGGGCTGGCATGGCCTCATCCAGGTCTCGCTGTGCGTCATCCTTGATGGCGGTGCATTCTTCGGCCTTTTTGGAGGCCGATTCCTCCTGCTTACTGA